TCCGGGGAGTGCGGCGTGTCGCGACGGTGGAATTGATACACAGCGAGGCACATGCGGCCTGTATAAAATAGTCAAGTGTGTAAGCTGTGAGCTAGTGCAACGTTGCAGTTTGAAAATTTGAAATCTTGCCACTTGAAGATTCGTCAAAACGATGGAATGTAGTCTTAGCTGATTGAATGCCGTTCTCGTTTTTTCCTTTCGCCACAACGCACCTTTGCAGTACACCGTCAGCAACAATGCACAACGTAGCCTTACTAATCTTTAACCCTTTACGTTTGTTCACAGAACATTTTGTACCGTTCCCGAGCTTCTTCGCCCTGCCTCCGTGTCCATATGTTGCGGTGCTATCTTCACCATTATCACCTCGCCCACCGTTCTGCTCGTGAGGTTCTACTCCTACTCCATGAGGTCCGACAGGAAGGTGAGTGATGCTCAAAGATGCCGTTTATTTGTGCGCCATATTGCCTTATTGGAAGTACTAACCCACGGATACCTTTTAGCAAGCTTTCTGATCAAAACATGGCAGGTACACCTACTGCAAACCAAATGGTGTACGTAAGTACTATAGGACACGCAACGAAGATTGTACATGCAGTCACACACACACACACACAAGTGTGCACTGTAAAACGTAAAGTGACCTTTCTTTCCCGAATACACACTAACAGATTTGTAGGTTTTATTTGTACAAAGTTGCGCATACATTCCATTCACACAAATTTGTGTGAAGAAGTGTATGTTTTTATGCATACGTTTGCACAAATTCGTGCGAATTGAAATACATGTGCAACTTTGTGCAAACGTTCGCACAAAAAAACTACAAATACATTTAGTGTGTAGAGCGACGTACAGGCTTCATCGCTCTGTTAGAGCGATTTTTGCGAAATGACTCAACATGAGTCTTCTTCGTAACAGAAAATGTCGCAGAAACGACTCTAAACGAGCGACGTTTGCGAAAATGACTCAAAATGAGTCTTATTCTTAACCAAAAATGTCGCGAAAAGTTACTCCAAACGAGCGATGTATTTAATGTCGTTCTCCCAAGAGTCGTCAAATTGGATTCACAATATCGTTCTATTTGCACTGTAAAAAATAATCACGGTCGCCTATACGGAAATATGCCGTTTACTTAACCTACGGCGTCTCCAGCACCTTGGGTTTCGTACCCTCTTCCCATAAGAGCCCATGTAAAAAAACGTGGGTAGGGAGCCAGGGTACGGAAAGGTACGGTAAAAGTCCTGCTAATTTTGATCCCAAGGTCTTCGTCTTGAGTACGGAGTCTGTTACGGCGTTCCGTACCCCCTTCCCTATGCTAGCCCATGCAAAAATCGTTGGGACGGTGGCCATGTACGGCAAATCTCTGAACCGCTTTCGAAAATCACCCCTAAAAGTGAGGTACGGAACGCCGTGACAGGCTCCGTATCCAAGACTGATTTTTTACAGTGTGCATCGTATTTGGCCACTCCTTTACATGTAGTGTGTACTTACCATAGTACTCACTTATATGTGTGCTCACAAGTACACTCTTCCTTGTGTACTACAGAACACTGTAGGCGTTCAGTGTTGATAGCAGCAAACTTGACGGACACATACTTGCCTGCGTGTACATGTTCGCGACTGTTGGCTTTACAGAGTACTGTTTTCCAGCGCCTTTGAACATTCCTGATCTTTTTTTTCCCTCGGACGGTGTGGCGTACCTTCTTTAAACGTGCCCGAGCCGCAGTAGCACAATGTTTGGCCAACCTCGCCATTAAAAATCCAAAAAGAGAGCAGGCAGTGCGCCGTTTGTTGGCGCCCCCGCCGGCACAACTCACTGTTTGGTCTTCTGTTCCGGGGGAGGATGGGCAGGGCGCTATGGTGAAGCTACCTTCAGACGGAAGTGCAAAGATGCAAGTTTAAAGACGACGGAGGAGTCTTGAGGCTACCCTCATCGAAATAACTCGACTGCTTTTTGAGACTGGCTGAATTATCCCCCGCGCTAAAAACCGCACCCCTGTGGTCTCCGTTAGTTTACCTGTCAGCAGATGTGTAGCGCATTTAGTTTATTTGTCTGTAACGAAGTTTACACGTTACATTTTGGGGTATCTAGCGTAACGTGACGTGCTACTAGACCTCTGTAACAATGATACGCCGTTGTCGCGTTATCATTATATAGAGAAAAATCACGCAGAATCTATGCCTCTTCTCAACTGGGCAGAACGCCGAGCCGTTTTAAAGCAGACTCTACCATCTTCTTTGAAAAGGAAACCAAATTTTAGCAAGCATAGAGGTTAAGAAATGGCATTTTTGGATGGTGAGCCCAACTTTTAGCACGCAAGGCGACCACGGCGTTTAGACGGTAATTGCAGGGCTTTGCTATCAAGGAGCGCTACATTCTTACCAAAAGCAAACGCACCACTCCACTGGAGTCCGGTTTACGATACTTTTACAAAAAATAAAAACGGTAGCTGATGTTTTCCGATGCCTATAATATTTGTATTTTAAAAATAAAATCATCGTAATGCAGGAAATGTGTGACAAAAAAAAATTGCATTTCGTTTGCAATTATTTTTTCCATGTACTCACATCTTTTTGGTGAGAAATACCCTGAAAATCGTCGGAATATCAAAATACTAGTTATAGCATAATCTTGTGTGTAAATTATCGCAAAACCAGCCTATTTGCTTGCAGTGCAGCAAACGATGCTGCGCGCCTCACCTTTTTTATTATTTTAAGCCTGCGTGTGCTGTCAGGCGGACTATCACGATACCGATCATTCCCTTTATTTACGAGGTAGATGTACGCCAGACCACGTCTCGCGTAACAGGCTTCGCGATATCTCACGAAACACTGTTACGCTGCGACGCGCCTGGCATTCTCACGAAACACTGTTACGCTGCGACGCGCCTGGCATACATCTACCTAGGCCTGCGGCGCTGACACCCGAGTCGGGTAGTGCAAAAGTGTACACAAAGATACGGGCCTCCGGCCCGTCAACGGCACGTCACTTTGACTAAGCATGCAGGGTTGTGCATTTGACATTTTTTCGCTTATTTTCGTCAAAAATACCCTCTAGCGCCTCAACGGTTTGAACTAGAGCAAAACGGAGAAAATTTTTCGCAAAGGGCTCTACTTTAATGAGTTACCCCTTAGGAGACTGTAAAAAAAATATTTTTTAAAAACTTTATTTTAGGGACCTGTGGTTTTTGATTTTTTAAAAATCCAATTTTTGAGCTAGAATGCTCTTCTTCGAACTCGATCTGTCTTTTTATAACATCAAACGACCCTGAAAATCCCAGGTCGCTTGCTCAATTCGTTCTCGAGTTATCGTGATGACAGACAAACACACACACACACAAACAGACAGACAGACAGACGCGAAACTTTTTGATCATCACTGGAGTAATAGGCTTCGCTATCGCTCAGCCAAAAAAAGAACTAACTGACTCTCAGTTATCGTTTCTTTACATCACTGTAAAGAAAATTATCGTGATTTTACGACATTTCCTCGGTTAATTTTCTATTACGAAAACTTCATTTCTAAGAAATTACGATACATCGTTATTTTACGAATTTGCTTTGATAAAATCCTAAGCTCTAACTAAAGGGTATGAAAATTTTAAAATTTCTAGTCAAATTTTATGTCTTACGACCCAAAAGAATGCATTCGTTACGAAATGTATTCGTTACTTTACGAAATGTTTTCGTAAATTGGCACTTACGAAATATTAACGTAAATTAATTTTTACGAAGCATTTCGTAACTTATTTTTTCGTAAAATCACGAAAACGTTTTACAGTGATTTGGTTCCTATCCTGTTAAATCTGAGTCTGAGTATAATTGAGCTTAGTGGCTTACACTTTCTACCATGTTAGTCCTAGCAGCTTCAGCCTACTCGGCGCGCCCGCCTGCTCCGCGGGCCAACTCCTTTGCTGTGATGGCACCCCAGGCGGCAGTTGAGGATAGAGTTTTCTGACCACTCTGCTCCGCTAACCCCCTACCCTTTCCACAACCGCTTCGCCCCTTCCCCGTCCCTTGCACCGTTATCAGGGGCCCCTAACCTTGGCTAACGCGACGTAAACCAACTTTAAGCCGTTGTCTTATCGGGCCGGGGACCGAGACCGCGTTGTCTATTTCGCAGGGTTATGATCATGTCATATAGCTTTATTTATTCTTCCGAACCCTCTTTTAGCTGCCTCAGTGTGTTAACTTGATTATTCAAGAAAATTCCCCCCATTTGGATTTTTTTAACATAAAAGTCCCAAAATAACAAAACCATTCACACATTGTCCTATTCGTACGTATGCCTCCTTAATAACAAAAAAAAAATTCATACTCTGTTTCAAAGAACATACCGTCGTGTGTCAGGGCTGTGACATAACGCAGTGTTGTGGATTTGCCTTAAAAATAAAGAGACATCATGTTGTGTGGACAAAGTTTTATTTACTTTTCCATGCCACTGTATTCAAATTGGCTGCGTGATGAGGCTGGGCCGGAGACGTGCACCTCGGTGGCAGCGATAACGCACGCACTTGAATTAAGGTTGTCTAATGGAGCTGAAAGGTAAACACAAGGGTGGCTCGGTCGTGTCGCAATCCGCGCCGCTTAAGATTTAGAGAGGAGTCTGTGGCTCTGGAAGAGTGCAGAGACTAAGAAACGGGACCGTGGTTTTTAGTCGTTCCGGGCCTTACTGTGCAAAACATTTCTATAGCAATGGGTGCTTTTAAATATATGTAACTGCTTGGCTGTTACTTTTCGTACTACGTATTAACTACCATCACGATTTATGAACTGAAGAGTTTTATAACTCCAGAACTTTTTGCGGGCACTTTCTGGGTGCAAGTTTTGCTTTTAATAAACGATTGTTTCCAAATCGATCAAGTGCTCAGTAAAGAATTGGGTATCTGCACTAGTGTGCAGTAAATACAAATTGTCCCATGGAATACATACGCTAAGCCGCATCGCGTATATTGTGTGGGTGGCTTTGCCCACTCGTTTTGGCCATACACTGAATTTAGCGTACAGTCAAAAACTGACTGTGAGCTTTAATTAGTGTAACGCAACGTGCACTGCAAAATGTTTGCAAAGAATAGATTCGTATTGCAAAAGATTTTCTTTGCAGCTTGCAAAGAAATTGTTATATACGAAACGGTTGCAGCTGACAAACTTGTTCTTTGCAATGCAAACACTTTGTTTGCAAGTATTCTGACAGCGTACTGAGTATTTCTTTGCAAAACAAACATCGCAAATTCTTTGCCAAGAATATAGTTTGCAAGTATTTATAGGGAGAATCGAGACGAAAGCCAAACCTGCCAGCACATGTGAATGCCGGTGTATGCGGTACAGTATAAGTATTAATAACGTTCCTACGTGTCCATAGGCCACTTTGTAGGCAGTAAATTTCTGAATAAAGCGCTTTGCAAGTACGCATGGAACTCGTTGTATCCAAAGTGCACAAATTCATGCTTATGTTTATAAACTTAACGTCTTGTCAAAATTAATCGGGCCACTTAACTCGTATTATTTAAAGGAACATTTCGTAATTTCAGAAATTCAAATACGAATTTATTTATAAATTAGTCGTTATTTAGGGCTACGATTTATATTTCGTTGCCATTTTTTGTAATATTATTGCAAATTTTATCAGTGTGGTTCGATTCCGGCCTCAGCGCTGCGGATCAATTTCTGGCAATATCAGATAGCACCGAGCGAAGCCAACTAAGTTGTCGCAATGCGCGTGCAGAATTCAGAAAGAAAACAAACGGCCCTTAGTAATTGCACCTATTTTGGCCATGTACACGCCGTTCATCATAGGGGATAAGCTTGCCACATTAGGTCGGCACAACGCCAAGCTCAAAACTACATTACGCAGATCTCGCCGTCTTATTTTATACAAGCATCTTCATTTAAGCCTTCGCCCACAGTAGTTTGTGTTGGGGACATAGTGACCCTGCTTGTGGCTCCACGAGGTGCTGCCGCAGCACAGCACCGCGGATCCCTATCCGGTGCACGCTGATTGGGACCGGTCTTATTGCCGTCGCGACGCGATGCTTGCCGGCCGGAGAAAGGCCGCAGGCCCTCCACTGACACGTTGACCTTGTCGAGCACGCAGTACAAAAACATTTCAAAGAATTTCAATCGGTACTAACCCTCTTAAGCACCAGTTGCCGTGCCCGTGCATGTGCCTCTGGCTGAGGTTATATGGACCGCGCCGCGTCTGAAAATTGCGCCATGTCGTGCTTATTACTCCCCGGATGCTGGTGTCTGGGGAGTAACTCTTGGCTGAGGAGTGGGGTGGCTCACTGCTCATCCTGTCCTGTGGGGCGTGGGCGTCATACATTTACGAAAAACAAGGATTTGTCGCCAGGGCTAAGAGATACGATAATTTTGGGGGTAGGCAATTCAAATTCTAAGCTTCAGGAGCGAACATCATAGTTCTGTGGATAAGAAAAAAAACAATGAGTTGGCAGAACAAACGGTTCGCTCTCGCAGCCACAGCTTTGCTGTAGTAACCTTACTCTGACATATTACTCTGTGTCAAATTACCAAACCTCTTAACTCTGATAAAAAAATTTTCTTGTGTACCCTACCACCTTTTTGTTTGCTGCAGCGACCGTTTTCAATCAAAGCAGACACCCCTGCCCACTAATAACAAAGCTTTTGTGTTCAAAGACAAACGGGACTCATTGGGTCAAAGGAGCAATGGGCGCCTTTGGATCATGGTGGAGGGATGTGCTTCTTAAGGCTTCTAGGTAAACAGAGCGGCGTCCTGGTTCTATGGAGATTAGGACACGTCATTAAGTGCGAATAGAGTAAAGGAGGTGAAGCTAAATCCACCCCATCGTCGCTCCTCTTTAATCACCTTCTCTTACCTCCTTACCGGGTGCGCTGTTTGGCGCCCTGCCAGTGCGTCACCGTTCACTCAACTATGTCAACCGAAGCCATTTCGAGAGCAAGAGAAAGTTTCGGTTCTCGGCAAAAACGTCCATTGCCCTCTACAAGAAGTATTTGTTGGAAATTTTCAAACTAAATAAGAAGGACGAGGTTCAGTTTCCATAACCGTTGACCACAATTAGATTTTAGAATATAATGCATTTTGGCAAGAAAATCGGTAATAGCTCTGACCGATGGTTCAACCTGTATAAAAAACAGCGAATATGTTAGGTCAGAGCGAATCTTCTTTTTCCGTAGTTACTTCAAACATCAGTTTTCTCTATGGAGGACTTTTCACAAGGAACCGTGAGTGTTACTGATTTACCCACCGACTAGGTCTCCATCTTTTATTCGTACAAATTTAAGCAAATAAACTTTTTGGTCACAATTCTGCTTGGTTAGAACATTTTTGTGCATTCCTTTGTAGAAAATCATGCACTATTGTGCTGAAACGAAACTTAGGTTTTACTTAGCACGAACGTTTTCACGAAAACATAAATTTACATTTGACGTGGCTTGGGTTTCGATGATGAGGTTCGGCAAAGAATGCCTGGCCCTGGCTTGCGGCACGTGACTGCAGTTCATCACCAATAATCAGGGGCATCGCTCCATTGCACCCCATTCTGAATGAGGCCGAAACGCAAAATGCGATCCGCTGGTAGTAAAGGTTATTGAGATTGCGTCAGATTTAAAATTTGGCTATTTTGCTGTGTGATGTATCGGCTGTGTGCTGTCACGTGGTTCCACTTTTGCCTTTGCCGCTCTACTTCGTGCTCCACAGGGCTCCACCCCCATTTTGGATATACTCCCCACGCAGGAGTCTCCGGGCCACGGGGTATTCCCGTCTTCTCTTCCGAGGATAAGAACTCCAAACTATACAATTGTATTGGAAAAGAATCCTATTATTGCATTTTGAGAAAGAAAATGGTACGATTTCTAGTCAGCTAGAAAGCAGCTGAACCGCGATTTCAAGTGGACGACATACCAGCAATGATTTATATTGTGTAGGACCGTCGTCTAAATAGTACTACCAAACTGTACTAAAATGATAACATACATAATGACTGTTGTGAAGAGCTGTAAGAAAAGGGGATTTGAAACACATCTTCGTAGACCCGTCCCTTCTTGCTTTAGATTGTACTTACTGATTTCAAAAGAGAGATGTCCATTTTAAACATGCCATGTGGAACTACTGCTACTTCTTGATGTCCGATTTGCATACTAAACAACGTTAGCTGGAGAGCAAAAATGCATGCTATTATTAGACAAATGCATTCGAATGTAAATCGCCATCCAATTTTCTTCAAATTGTGCGTCTTCTGCTTTTAAATGCATCCCTGACAGCTTAATTCATAAACATTCCCGCATGATCCCTTACCTGGTGGGTTTCGGAGTTTGTAAACTTCCCACAATTCATCATGTCGTGCACGATATTCAATGTTTTATTTCCCTAATGACAAATTGATTAGAAAGGTTACTGCTGACTGATTCAGAATGGTGCTGACCACGGTTGAGCGGTCCAATATCAATCTTTTCCGATTTCCCCTCGACAACAGCGGTAGGCGCAAACGTGCTTCATTCTAAATGGTGTGAGGTAGACCGTCTCACACCTGAGTTTCCAGAGTAGATAAGCCGCTAGAAGAACGTTTTACCTATAGGTGCCCTCAAAATCCAACAGTAGTAACATTTTGTCTCTCGTTTTCAGCCATTGGACCGTTTCAATGAGGCCTTGAGCGGTGGCGCTGCTTCCAGCTCCGGCTGCTAGGTCGCAGCACGCTCCGAGTCCACCATGAGAAATAGCGCGCTCAAGATGGGATTGGGTTAGATTTTGCAATTACATCAACTCTGAAAACTCAACAGTGTACATTGTATTCTGATATACAGGGTGGTCCACAGACCCCTTCCTTTATTTTGCTTATACTGTACCGCATGCATGCGTACGGGCGGGCTTGCCTACTGTCGCTCACCATAGGCGCCTTACGGCCCCGTGCGAGTATGCAACCCGTCCGCACGCCTGCATCCGGTACAGTATAAGCAAAATAAAGGAAGGGGTATGTGGACCACCCTGTATCAGTGTACTTGGCATGATTGCTGAAATATCAGATAAGTTATCAGATATCCCTAGTAGCGCCGATGCGCATTCAATGCGCATTCTTGGAGCATTTAAGTGCATTGTGCATTTTCGATGTGCGAAAAATGCGCGCATTGTTGCATGCGTTTACAATGCGCATTGACGACTGCGGATTACACCCGCCATAAATGCGCATTTTAAACGCGCATTGAACATGTACCCGATGCTAAAATGTGCACATCACTCGCATCAAAGGCGCACGATGAACGCGCATGGGAGTACGACTACAATGTGCATGCGAATAGTGCATAGCACTCGCCTTCAACGCGCATTATAAAATCCTATTGATAACTTTGACCGGAGAGCGTTCCCGCCGAAACATTGGCTCTCGCTGATGATCCACCACGACCGATTAGTTAGATACCGCAGAGGTGTCTCCACCGAACTCTGATTGAGCCCTTCTTCACAAGGTGTGGAACAAAAACAGATTTTTCTATTTTTAATATGGGGCTGGCGTGTTCAATGAACCTGATCTGTATGAGGCGTCGTGAAAGAAATTAGAACTTGACCTAATGCATCTAATGTCACTAATGTGCATGTAGAATGCATAATGTGCGCATTAAAATGCTCGTGGACGTTCTACATTCGATGTGCGTTAGAAATGCTCATAAAATGCGTTATCTCAGTGCGCATTATGTCACCGCATTATATGCGTTGATAATGTGTGACCTTCGAGGCGCATTTTAATGCACATTAGATATGCGCATTAAATGATCTAAGTAATGCGCGTTAAATGTGCGATGAAGGCGCATTCGCGCTACTACGGTAGGCTCACCTGACCGGTTTATTTCTCATAGTGGACTCACAGCGTGATGCGCCCTAGCAGCCGGGTAAGCAGCGCCGCCGCTAATGCCTCATTTAAGTTTGAAGGTAAAATTAGTGTTCGTATTAGATTTCTTCCAGAAGGGTTGGGATCTTCTCGACAAAACCACTGTCCTACCTCTTTTGTTGTGCTTCTACAAGCGTAAATAACCCCCAATTGGGTGGAAAGTAGCCCATTGATGAAAACAAAGCCGAAGCCAATCATGTGCGTCATTGAAGTAAGCTTCCACATGAAATAAAAGAAAGGTCTTGTGTAGTGACACTCAATATAAGCGAGTAAAGATGAATACTGGTACCTTGGAAAAACCTTTTACCTTGAAAAACACGGTAAACGAAACTACATATAAGTATACCACTATCAGCACAAATTCTAATATTAGAATGGCCAGGAATTGCATTTCCTGCAACGTTTAAAATTACACTGGTGATAACAATTGTATGTTTCTTAGATGTAATCCGCGTTGTATTACCTGTGTCAGCGTGAGCCTGTCAAGTAAGTCACGGGAGTCCCCGTGTGCGCCCATCAGCGTGCAGAGTTCAGAGCAAAGCAGTGATGTATCGTTTTTCGCGACATAGCGGTGTTTTGTGGTCGAAGAAATTTCGCGAGATGAGACCACTGGGCAGAGAGAGCACTTAGTACGTTTCCCCATAACTACTATGAACACAATAAGAGTACGACAGCCAACATGTCCAAGAGGTTACAAAATGGTTGTCAGAAAGAGAGTAATTTCCTGCCTTCTTGAATAACTGTAAGTCGCCTGTTGATTGTTTTAAATGACGCTCCGATATGGCGGACAAGGTGGATGAAAAGTATACGATCAGTACTTGCAAGCACCAGTAGCGAGACTACATGGTCACGCACGTTATCTAGTACTGCGTTTTTCTTTCAAAGAAAAATATGCCTTTCAATTACTTTCGGAATCAACTACTTTCAAGGACGTGTAAAATGTATGAGGAAAACAGCATACCACGCGTGTGCACAGGTAACGTAGAGTGCCGCCTATCGCCACTAAGAAAAAGACCTGAAAAAAAACACAACCTTGAGAACTTAACAACAGTCGAATTGTGATGAACATTTCGAATCATGTCTGAAGTATTGCCACGGGTACTTGGTATGACCACCATACCGCATCCAGAAAAATTATTAACAATGACAACCATCTTATGGTTGGCTTAGGGAGTAGCATAAAATATGGTTGAGACAACAATGACAGCGTGATGGAAACTATATTTTTGGTTCTCTCACACTATGATGTTGCATTAACCATATTTTATGGTCCTTCCTGAGTTAACCATACGATGGCCGCTATAGCTCATCCATTTTCGGGGTGCGTTTAGCTATGAAACATTTTAACATCTGCAACCGGGACGCTCGCAGTCCAGCAGTTCGCTTTTGCGTTCGGTTTGGAGCGGGCGGCTAAAATGCGCGAGTATCGGAGCGCGCTGAACAGCGCGAGCCTGTACTGTATCCGAAATGAGTGCGTTTCAGTTTTAGGTGTAGAGTTACCTCAGCGCTGTACAACGTTGTCGCCCAGCAATCATGCTGGGGCCCGGGCAGATTGTTGCAGTCTCGTAGGACTTGCGGTAAATATTTAGCCTTCCGGAATGTGCCCATGGTCATTCCTAGATGACCTATCAAAACCACTGCCTGTCAAAGAAATGGGACTAATAACTGATCACTTTCGGACATAATGCCTAAATACGATTCTTTATATGAAAGGAAAGAACGTCTTTCCCTATTATAGTATTGCTGGATATTTAACAACTATAAACAATTTTTGGTCAAAACTTCATATTTGATTTTATACAACTACTAGTACAAAAAACAGGGTACGGCAATCACTGTGGAACATATTTAATGCACACAGAAGTACAGTAGTTTCCGTATCAGGAGAAACAAGAGCATAAACAGTCTTCGACATTATTTACTTTGCTTACCATAACGTTTATGTGTAGTATATTTCCAAAATGTGATCCTCTGTACGAATAATCACCTACAATTTCTAATACTTGTTGTGGGATCATGCAGGCTGCGTATGCGACGACTATAATTGATAGCGCCAATGGAAATTTTGAAATCCTAACATGTAGTGGAGTTAGTCTACTTTTATATTTGCAATTATAGCAATACACTTTTAATGTGAATTTTTGTCTCAAAACGAGCGCGATTTTGTGCACATTTTTCTTTTTGGACAAAAGTTTAACAAGAGTTTTGAAGTATTTTGTCAAAGCTCGCGTGCACTCCCATGAATACTGTAACAGTTCGCCTTTTTCAAATGATGTACACGAAATCGCGTCCTTTCTTGTGACAACATTTTCACTTTCCCCAGTTGCTGTGTACCAGCACCTGATTTCGGAGCACACATCGATGCAGGCGGGTTTTTCTACTCACTGCAGCCCTGGCACCTTACGGATAGAGGAGTGGTCAAACCCGCTCGCACCGGTGCGTTCACCGTAGCACCCAGTGTGCAACACTGGTTTTAGCTTCACTGAAAATCACTTTGTGTAACATAATACAAAAAGTTCTTTGTAACATCGTGTGCGTTTGTAACATTGGATAAACAAATGGTTTTACGTAACAGATTGATACATCTTACTTTCAGTAACAGGTTTTAAAATTGTACCTTTGTGCAACAAAATTATTTTTGTTGATACTAAATATACATGTTTCCCGAGCATAATTACCAGTTTAACAGCTGTCACGGATTTTAGTTTATGCAACAAATGTTACATACACCACTTTGTGTAACAACGGTAACGTAAAATTATGAATGTTACAACTTTTATACACGTACACATTCGTGTTGTTGCATAGAGTTAGTTTCAGTGTTGTCGCCAGCCAACCGCAAAGGACGCACCGATAAAAAAAATGGAAAGAAATGTCTCTAGACGTTTCACCATAGTAACAAAGACAAAGACAAAATAATAATCAGTATTAAACTATATAGCCTTAACCCAGGTGTTTTTCGACGTCTCGAACACGCAAAAAAGCCTGTTCGCTAAAATAGCAAACTTCAGGTCCTTGTGTTTTGCTGTTGCAGCAAACACATTTTTGTTTTCGCTGATTTAGCAGAAGATTTTGCTGTTTCAGCACACATTTTGCTAAAACAGCAAAATCTTTTGCTATCTCTGCTAAATGTTTTGCTGTGACCATAGCAGAGAAAATAGTTTGTCGCTATGGTCACAGCAAAACATTAAGCAGAGCTAGCAAAAGGTTTTGCTGTTTTATCAAACTGTTTGCTGAAACAGCAAAACCTTTTGCTAAAACAGCGAAAACAAAAATGCGTTTGCTGCAACAGCAAAACACAAGGACCTGAAGTTTGCCATTTTAGCGAACAGGCTTTTTTGCGTGAAATGCATTAAAGGCATGCCAAGCGGAATGCCAACTTGCGTTCCTTTCAGAATGAGAACTATCGGTACGTGCTTTATCACTGTGAAAAATATCAAGATAAATTTACATGTTTAAATTTTGGGGAGCGACACAGTGGTAAAGAGAAAATGCTGATATTGCATGGAACGCTCCCGGCTAAACGACGAGCACTCGTTCCGAGTGGTTCGTATCGTAAATTTACGTCAGCTCATTCATGTTCGGTGAAAAATACTGAGTCGATTCATATTAATTTCAACACGTCCTAATTTTACTCGCTGACATCGTAAATAAGTAACATTGCTCGCTTACGGGTTTTCCCCGTAAAAACTACAAATATTTTTCACAGTGAGCGGCTGTCTATTTTATGGAATAACACCAGCGTTGTGCCGGCTTTCAATTCGAAACGAGCGAAAAGTCCTTCTCAACTTTGACTTGAAAGTTGGTGGCGGTCCGGTTGGACTTAAACCAATAATTCGGGCAAAAGTGAGCAAAGGTCGCATAGGTTGCAGCGACATATTTGAGGGCAGAGATTGGGGCGCACGACTGTTTCTCTTCGTTTGTTTGCAACCAAGTGGTGCCGGTGCACAGTTACTTGGTCGATAACCGCCCCTCCCCCATCAATTTAATCTCAGCCGCTGTTCACTGACTCGTAGGCCCATGAGGGTCGAAGAAACACATTAGTACATTAAATTTTATGAGAGGACAAGTTATACGAGAGCTTTTTTCAGTTCATTTGGAGACAGTCCTGCACCAGACTAACAAAAATCAAATGTTGTTTTACGAAATCAATTTCTGAATAATATAAGAGTAAACATTCCTACGTTTAAATAAGACACACTCAATTGCAAACCACATAGAAGCTATAGCGAGGCCGCCGTACAGTATGATAAAGGCTGGCTTAACGTGGATCCACCGCAGGGGGCTGTGCGTACGCCCAGTGTCCAGAAACATGAGTTCTTCTTTGCCGCACAATTGTCGACGAGCATTGCGCTTTTCACGGTCATGCCAAAAATACATTACACCAGACGCATGCAAGAGACCAACCATTCTTCTCAGAGGTTTCTCCAGCGGGGAGCCTCTTGTAACCATGATGTTACTTTTGAGGTTCGAGATTGGCAGTATGAAGTGGTGCAGCAATCTTGATCTTCGAAACAACTGTAACACGAAAAAATAAATAGAAGAGGCCTACTATTTTACAGAATGTGTATGGTAAAACAATGTCTGAATTTTTGAGGATGTAGAGAACTTTGAGGGTCTCTCGTAGTTAGAGAGAAACTCAGGTGATTGAAGATGTTTTATTTTTAAAATGAGAAAAAGTCCCCTTTTCGAGGGGTGGGGGGAGAGAGACCTCCCCTAAATCTAAGAGCTTTTCCTCGAATTATGGGAGCTACTTAACACTTTCCCCTTTTCCTCCCAAAGAAGAGTCACTGTTTTTACCGTGTGGTAGGTGTTACACGTTCTTTACTATTATTTTTATAATTTTCACTAGCCAGAAAAGGCAATTTTTCCCCTTCCCTTTTAAATATAGCAAGCTTATCCGCCTCCCCTTTTCTTAAAAATATATGCATGAAAATAACGCTTCAAGATAACCCCAGAAAGACAGATGTATATATATCGTTCACATGATCTTACTGTTAAAATCCACGGGTCGAAATCGTCAAAGATTATGAGTGCCACGTTTCGTTGCTCTGCTACATAATGCAACATGGGCAACAACTGCTCGAACTCATTCACATATTCTACTCTGGGCAGCATTCTGGCAGGTAGTAGACTGCTGGCACTCGGTCGTAGCTCTATACCCATTAGTATCGATAGGTTACTCTCAGCAAGCTCCTCTAAAGTGTCAATTTCACCCTTCATTTTGCCGACACTTAGTTGAGTACGGAGCTGACCCTGGTACGCCGATGAAATGACGACGCTTACAAGTAACCAGCTGCCGTACACGATGCGATGTGGACTACTCTGTCTGCAAAAGATGTTAGACAGAGCTCTACAAATACATTCGACGCTATATCAAACTCACAGTCCACTTACGTGTTGAAAATGCAAAGCAGTGATACCTTTCGGGAAAGGATTGGGAGACGAGAGGTGCCAGTACTTGAAGACATATATCTGACCTTCTCGTTAGCGAAAACAGAACAACGGCCACACAAAATGCAGATCCAATGGTGACGCCCCACATTGCGTTAGTAAACTCGCACGTCATATCTTCCAGAGGAGAGGCCGATGGACCCAATCCTGCATGCCAAAAGAATTTTTAGTGGATACCATCTAGTACTAGGCAAGCCTCACTATGCTGTTGTATGTGTTTTGCGGCATTCGCAAGTAGTCTGAAACATTCATTTGCGTTCAATATCCGAGGGGTCCGCAACTAGGTTCGAGCGAGTACACTGGCCGCCCGGAAAACTGGGAAGACCGGGAAGACTACCAGGAAGACTAAAGAAAACTGTAGAAGATCAAGAAAATCGTTGGCCACAAATGTGACGGAAAACCGAAAACTATAAGGGAAGACCGGAAAAACTTTAGGAAAGACCTAGAAATTGCAAGGAAAACCAGAAAATGTAAGGGAAGGCCGATGAAAATGCGAGAAAACCGCAGGAAACTGGACGAAGCCTTTAGAAAATCTCAGAAAACCAGGATATTGGGAAAACCAAGAAAAAGTTGGGAAGACCGGAAAACCCTTGGGAAAACCTAGGAAAACTAGGAAGCCCACCAGCCCACCACATGTGTGCACCGGCAGACCGTACTTGCGGACCCCTCATCAATATCATTATATTTATTTCCAAATTCTGTGTGAATGTTTGTAATATTCTGCCAGCATCATTCTAAGTTTGTATGTTTGTTGCAGGCGTTTGTGGGTGGTTATACCTACGATTCGTTTAGGACAGATTTGTGCAAAAAAATATTTTTTCATTTTAAACAAAAAGAGATACAACAGTCGAGTTAGTGCGATGGAAATTTTAATCTATGAGGTGATACGGACTGGTCGTCATGTGATTGCCCCACGATATTGATGTGTTGGTGTACCCTGTACCCTGCATCAGGTTTTCATCGTATTGTCCTTTCTTGCCTGCAGGTACGATGGCAATCGCACCGTACATACGCCAGGGAAAGGCTGCTACCTCTTGCCGCCGGAACACCTGCATGTGCGTGTCACAGACTGCGGCATCCAATCGGCAAAGGAAGGCTCTCCGCATTATTGCCTCTGTGGCCTCCGCTTCTCCGTAACCTTTCAGGTGAATAGACAAACTATTGTTACGTTTAATCATGCCGATGAGCGGTTGCACCTGAAAAATGTCGGTCACATGCACGTATTGAACCAGCATAACTGCCAGAGCAGTGTATGTTTATAGTCACAAAAATAACAGTGTTGGTGTACCAATGGCCCGCCGTCCCAGACCACATCCAAGTTCTTGTCAACTGGAGGGCGCCACCTCGAGCAGTGGGGTGGGAACACAGAGGCGCCGTTGGGGCAAGACAACTCGGTCCAAGTGCCTATTCTGATAACAGTTGCGCCTAAAGGAACCAGTTTAAAATCACTTTGACAGTCAAAAGTACAGGTTTAACAGCACAACAAAGTATTCAGAAAATTAAATTGTGGTTTGAAGGTGGCCAGAATATGTGCATGGGGGATGTATCAAGCCGTACTATTTATGTGGTTATCGCACACAGGCGGGCGGGTGTTATTAGCCCCTTGCGGGTGCATCCGGTCAATACTCCTGCATCCGGTACAGTGTTACTATGAAAAATGAACGGCATAGAACACCTACCCTGTGTGAAGAAACGGACTGACCAGCCAAATGCTATTAAACTAGGCTGATTCGATATTGGGCAAAAACTGAATCTGACGGACGTGACTTTCGCTTATGTGTCAGAAAAGCTTTCCATGTCGATTTACAATAGTTATATTAACGTACCTCAATTTTGTTCGCCTACGCGCTAACGTTCGAGTAGTACTCGAACATTTCGAATCCAAACAACTCGTGTTCGAGCGATCACGAACAGCTCGATGTTCGTTCGTGTTCCATCGAATGCGAACATATTCGCCAAGACAGTGCCGAGGTGCACCGCAGCCGAGGGGGAAATCACTTGCAAAATAGTGCGTACACCTTCCCTCGAAATCGTTCAAAATAGTTGGTGCAATAGTCGCCAAATACCTCTGAAATACTGCGAAATACCCCAAAATAATCCGAAATAACCATGAAATAACCGAAATGGCAGGAGAATATCACGTAATAGTCCGTACGCTACACGGTAAAAAGTTTTTCTTAGTTTCAATACCATCTCTTGAATTTCAAGGACTGGTGGATACTTTCCAGATCGACCCTTGAAATACCAGAATCTGCCTTGAAACCATTTGCTTCAAAGGAAAAGCCTTGGAATTTTTGTTCTCATATTCAAAGGGTTGCCTTGGATTACCAGACGTAAATTCCAAGGCTATTCTTTGGAAGCAAATGGTTTCAAGGGTTGATCTAGAAATTATTCAGCCGCCCTTGGAATTCAAGAAACAGTCTTGCAATCCAAGAAAAACTTTTTACAGTGTACGAATCCGAGTGATTTCCCCCTCGACCGCAGCCCTATCGTGCTGATACAGTTTGTATCATCTGCTGCTTTCAAGATCCACTCTTTATTGAGTTGTTTTTTTTTCTTTTTTTAATAATTGGGTTGATTGTGGTTACTCTGGAAACCCAAGTGTGTACTTGAACGCAGGAAATACTGCGTACTTGTTGGTATTCAGTATTTCCTGCGAGAAATTCATCAACACTATCGTGGAGTGCGAATAAGTACTCCTCTAGTATTCTCACTCAAAGCGAAATTACGTTGATAAATTTCTCATATCGGCCTGCTGCTGTTTTTATTTTCCTCAAGCTCGAGTAGAGCAGAAGACAATGTTTCTGTTTTTCAAATTCGTTGAGTCATTTCACTTTCATTACTGACTAACAACCAATCATGCTTGTTAAGAAACTGTGATTTTGCTATCCCTTATCATCCAAAGAGATGGTGCCTTTCAGTCAACACAACCCAGAACATCTGTCTCCTACAACATGGTTTAAATTTATTTCATGAATGAAGACTGCAGGTGGCCCTTGCAATGCAGAGGTTAGGAGAGATATGGTGAGTTGATTGAGTTGCAAAATGCACACAACAGAAGAAATTAATGAAAGCAGTTAGGGAGGGGAGGCATTTTCTTTCATACAAATTTAATAAAGATTCTACTCTCTTGATTTGCTGAACTGTTCGGCCTCCAGCCGCAACTTATTGAGAGACATAATAGTGAA